ACCTGGTTACTTTACTTGCCTGGCACAAATCAGTGCCTGTCAGATATTAAATTAGAAAGACGGAAGCAACTGGGTTTGTTTGTGTTTAAGCCACAGAAGGCACAGGTTTTTTTTTTTGTTTTTTTTTTTTTTTGGTTTTTTTTTTTTTAGCAGTGTTTGCCAGTTTTAGGATGAGAGCTTGAAAATGTCATTAAAATGAAGAATGGTCACAAGGTAATAAAGAAACAATCTTCTTGCTTTAATGACCTGAGCTAAAAGCTAAGTGACTGTAGCAGCTCAGATTGTAAAAGCAGTGGGAAATTTAATGAACAGTGACCCCACAGGAAAGTCAATCTGTCTGTTAATGTTTAGTTTTGTCATTTCTTCTGAAAAGAAATAAACCTCTATTATATAATCTATTGGTTACAGAACCTGGGGTCAGGCTCCCATTGAGTTTAACTCTGCCAGTCTGTCTCAGCTGAAATTACTGACCTTCCCCAAGAAACAGATAAACATCCCAAGCAGGAAATAACTGGAAGGTACCTGGGGAAACAGCTTTGATTGTGGGAAAAATAAATTGTCATGAACTTGGCTGCGAAAGCTCTAAATGGTTTGCAAATTCCCTTAATGATAAGCTGATTCAGCCAGTTAAATTATGTAAAATATAATGAATTAAACTGTCATTAGTCAGTAGTGGCTGATGACCCAGTTCTGTAACGTCATTCATCTGGGAGCTGAGGAATGCTCACCGCAGATCTTGAAGCAAAGGTGGCAATCAAATAAGACATAAAAATGTGAACCTCTTTGCTTATGTTTGGCTACTGAGAATATGTATTTACTTAACCAGAGAGTGGGAAGAGGCATGTTGAAAGTTGGGTGATCTAGAGAAGTGTATTTTAACTGCAGCACACTTTGGATAGCACCATCCACACAGGTTGCTGCTGTGAGCACAGTCCTGGAAGAGGCTGGAGCAGTCCGCTTCTGTCCCCTACCACAAGACAAAGCCAGCCTGTCCTATAAAATTCTTCATTTGGGCTAAAGTTTCAGCTTGGCTTTGGTTTAGTCTTATCTACTTCTTAAATCAGAAACTGATCCTGTTTGTTTGTGCTTTGTGACCAGCATGTTTCTGTGGCTTTGCACAGCAGCTCGTGCTGTGAGAACGGGACTGTGTGTGGGTGGGAGTTTGTCAGCTCAGCCACTTTAGAAGTGCCTGAGCTGACAAAGCTCTTCAGGCTTTGCCTCTCTTTTTTTTTTTTTTTTTTTTTTTTTTTTTTTTTTTTTCACCAGTTAAACAGTGGCAATTATCCAAAATCCAACCTCTGCATGTGTACATCCAACACAGTGTTTAAATTTAACTGGAAATTTGTGAATTATTTGTTTACAAACTGCATGTCACATTAAATCTGTACTTTCTTCTTTATGATGCTGTAATAAAAATTGTGTAGCCCTATTTAAACATGTCTTGCAGGTAACAATTCCTGTAGGTCCACTCAAGTTTATTTTTGCTTAAAAGTCTATTGCAATTTGTTGCCAAATATTTAACACAAGAAAAGAATCACATTTAAAAAGTCACTGAACTTTTAGAATTTCCAGATTTTTTCCCTATTTTCTCTTTTTTGTTGCTGGCTGGCATTTGGTTCTGAGGGCTTTTCTCAATGGTAATGTCCATTCCCATTAAGCAAATCTTGTTAATGTAAAGGAAATTTTCCATCCAGTGGTTTGTTAGTGCTGAAGTACACTGAAAAGTTGGTGCAAATTATTCTGGAGAAGGCCACTGTGTTTTCATGAAAAGAAAATGAACTTATAAATGCTCATACTGGTCCCCAGGCTGTCCTGTCACCACAGCAGCCCCAGGGCAGAGCCAGGATGGGAAACATGACCAGGGACCACCACAGAGCCAAGGATGGCCAGCCATGGCTGTGGCTATGGGGCAGCTCTGTGGCTGAGCTGGGGCCCAGCAGGTGAAGCTGGGACAGCAGGGTCTGCCCCAGACCAGGACAGAATCCCCCAATGCTCTTCCTGACTGGCTTTTTCTACTGGAGCTGGCCCTGGGCAGGGGCTGCAGAGCCCCAGGCACCCTGGCCCTGGGCTGGGCAATGCTTTGGTCCCCATAACCAGCAGGATCCTCCTTTTGGTGCTGCCTGTTGCCTTCTGCCGCCTCTACGGGGGCGTTACGGGCAAAGAGGAGGATGGCAGCCTGCCAGCCTGGCCCCAGTGTGCCCTTTGCCCCTTTGGCATGCCTCATGTGTGACTGTTTCCACTCATGCTTTAACCTGCCTCGCATTCTCATCAGAAATATTTTCTCTCTCCTGGCAGCACTGTGTTGCATGTGTGCACCCAGCAGCAGCTGCTCAGTGCCCTCCGCACTGGGCTGTGCCCAGCCTGGGCTGCACTGCTCCCACCTCACCTTTTTCTGGGCACAGCTTCCTGGTGTCTTTCCCAAAGCCACTTTGGAAACAACAGACTTATTAAAGAACCCTTTCAACTGCACCTTGTGGGGAAAGGTACCACACCAGTCCCCTTCATGAAAGTATGGTGTCTCTCCAGCCAGCAGAAAAGTTTTGGGAGATAACAATGCTCCCTGACCACCTGTGGTGTCCAAAAGGAAGGAAAACAAAACAGTAAATTAATTTTTAATTTTTCATGATAGCAGCACAGCCACTTCTCACAGCAGGGCACAGAATCATTAGGGACCAATCTGTCCCCATCAGTATGAAAGTTCTTTATCCAGGCAGTTTTCTGAGTACAGTTGTTCCCAGTCTTTTAAGGCTCACTCCTCTTTCCACCCCAGCACTGCTGCAATCCCTGTGGCATAAGTGACTCTGCTTTCCAGCATCCTCACTGCTGGCCTGGGAGGGTGGCAGCTCATCTCCCCGGGTAATGATGGCCTCGTGCGCCTGCCTGACGTGGGCTGTGCAGGGGCATGTGCACCAGCCAGGATTGCACAAACAGTGACTAACCCAGCTACTTAATTGCTCCATTCCACAGAGCTGCCCAACTGTTTATAGCCATTAAATAGCAAGAGATGTGGGAGACACACACACAGTAATGTCTGTGTCATGCAAAAAATGCTGACCCTTTTGTGGCCATGGGCCTGGCAGAACCTGCAGCCCAGTGGCCGCTCAGGCTGGCACAGTTGGCTGCAGGCTGCCACTGGAGGAGCCAGGGCTGCCAGGCCTCCCTGCATCCCTGCCTTCCTGTCCTCATCATCTGCTGCTTGTTCTGCTGCAAACAGCGCACTCACCACTGGCAAGGTTCTTTCTCTCACCTTACTTATTCACTCATTTTAAGCAGTTGCTTGTAAGAACGTTTTTCTTCCTTCCCACAGTGCTCCTCACAGCATTGCTGATGTGGTTCTTCTCTCATTTACCTGTCAAGATGTGCTAAACAATACTGCATTCTCCTTTCTAATGGCTGGTGACACTGCAAATCATTACCAGAGCCTGCAGCTGGCCAGTAACTTGTGTGTAATGCAAAGCAAAGAGAAATCAAAACCAAAATATTTCAGCTGCATCTGATAAGACAGCTGCAACATATGCACAGTCTTTTGGAATATAAGCTAGAATATGAAATCTGTGGGGGAAAAAGCATTTTTGGTTGGCATTATCAACAATGTTTAGTGCATAGTAAACAATTTCCAGTCAAGTGGAAGATAAACCTTTTATAGGCCACAGTGATTTGCTGTCAGTGCCACTTTCAAAAAGCTCATTTGGATCAACCAGGTTAGGAGGTGACACAGACATTTGTCAGCCAAACAAAAGAGATTACAGACCCGGGGTGAGATACAAAGTAAGGTATTTAATTGCATAAAGGTCAGTGAAAGTAGCACAAAAACCTACAGTATTGTACTCAAACTGTCAGTCCTATTAAAACAGCTGATAAATAGGCTACCCCCTAAGGATGAGTTGTAGCACTGAGCCTCCATTTTAATTGTCTGATAGAGTGTCCAAGATATGGGAAAAAAATGGTTTTCTTTGGATGTTTAGGTGTCCTAGATTGCCTAGCAGCAGAGGGCCATATTAGCTTCTGCTAGATGAAATTTAATGCGGACTGATTACATTTTACCGCTATAAGCAACCCTTTAAAAGAGTAAACGCTCTTTCTATAAATACCGCAGATAAATTTTAGCACGGAATTCCCGGGTGCAGAGGGAGGCGAGGGAGTTGGTGGGATGGATGTTGCTGCATTGCCCTCTCGTGGGACGAGCCTGCAAAGCAGCAGCGGAACGCGCCGGAGCTGCCGCCCGGCATCGCTCCCGGGTTCCAGCGGCCCGAGCTGCCAGCCAGGGCTGCCCTGCCTGGGGAAAGTGCTCAGACAGCTGCACCTGCTAAATATTTACTCAAAGGAGTAAATAGTTCATCTGCCTCGCTTTACACTTAGTGGGATTAAAATTTCGCCTTCCAAAACACTGATCACACATTAAAAAATATTTAAAACACAATTTTTCATTAGAAAATAAAATATTCCATTTCCCCCTAAATCTTCTGTTCCTGCATTTCTGTAGGACACAGCTCCGAGGCTATGTCCCTGCTGGAATTGCAAAGATTGTCCTGTAACATCACAACAAGAAGCAGCATAAATACAGTTCCACTCCTGTCCCAAATAGGGATCCACTCCTATCTTTCTGCAGGACTTGATGTCCCAAACAGGAATTAAAGAGCAGGAGGATGAACAGCACCATTTGTTGGCACGGAGTGAGGATGAAGCCCGTGCCAGAAGTGGAGGAAGCATACCAGGGATGAAAGTCGACGCACAGATCCATTTTAGTGTGCTGGGAATGATGCCATCTATCACACAGAGTGCTGCAATTGCTTCCCACAATGCTGGATCTCATCTCTATTCTGTCCTGCTCTTCTGGGAATTTTAAAGAAGCGTTTTCCTGTCTAGCCAAGGCACTTTTGTCACCCGCACTGAGTTGTCTGAGTACTTCATAGTCTCTGAAATATTTATCCTCTCACTTTTCTTGTCAGGTAAGAAAATTCTCCATTTTGCAGATGACAAAGTGAGCACAGGGATTAATCCTCAGTTCCAAAAAGAGATTTATGTATGCAAAGTGGTGCTTAGGAAGAATTTAAGAGTCTATATCCAAAATGTACATTGTGAAAAGCCCTGTTTAAGGACTGGAGGTGCCTGGTGGCATGCAAGGAAGCTGTCTGGGAGTTCACTTCTCTGCCTGAGGGAGAGAAAAAGTGATAGCAGTTCAATTCCTTGTTATGAGCCATTTATTTCTGTATTATGAAATAAAACTTTCTAAAAACTGCATTCAGGTAGGACGTTACATGCAGGCTGTGCTACTTGTAAACACCTTGGGATGGAGAAGGAGGAGGAACAGCTTACAACATTCCCAGCGGGGAAGGAATCAAGGTAAGATCTTGTCCTACCCTGCGGTAAGGAGCTGAGGGAAATGCTACCTCTCTTGTTTTATGCCCCTAAATCCCCTGGGAAAATCTCCCCTGAGAGCCTGCTGCAGCACCACCGGGCACAGCACAGGCCCTGGCTGAGATGAGCAGCTGGGCTTATGCTGAATTTGTGAGGCTGTTTGGGGCCTGACCAAATTCGGGATTCATTCCACAAGTCTGAACTATCCTGGAGCTCACTTAAGAAGTCTTTATCACAAAATATGATGCCACACTTCTGACTGATAACGGAGAGCACTGCTGTGGGAAACACCAAACCTGCATCCTAGGCTCTTTTACTCCCATGAAAAAGTTGAGCCTCCACCTCCCTGAGATTAGAAAAATGTAATGAACATCAGGTGCTGCATATTTGGGGTGGGAATGGTCCTCATTACTCTTGGGCCAGTGAGAAAGGCAGGACTGCAGCAGAGAGCAGCCATGACCCATGGCTCAGTGGCTCTGTGTTTTTTCAGAGGGCAGAACTATGGCTCCCACTCTAAGGCATTTTCTCTGCTTTATAAATGCTGTGTTTCAAGTTTCTCAGTAGCCAAAGGAACCACACTGTGCCTCTCCCCAGGCTAAGTGCCTACTGCCAAGGCTACTGATCCAGTCCCCTGCAGGGACCCTTGCCTTCTGCTTTAATGAATTCACACTTCTAAGAGCAGTCTGAGTTCAGTAAGGGGTGACAATCACCTCTGTGCAAAATGCCCCTCAGTGAACTGGCAGCTTTTCCTGTAATGCAGAGCCATTTGTTCAAATGACAGGAAGGGTGATGCTGGTTTGGGAATCAGCCTCCCGGGCACGTTTTGTAATCCCCGGTTATGGAAGACACTGCAGACACTGAATCCCTCTTTCTCCAGGGAAACATCAAAGACCAGTGTTTAGCTCCCTTGGTGTCTCTCAGTGACTAGTTTAAAACTCTCCTGTGCTCAGCAGTTTGGCTTTTGGACATTCCCACCTGAAGCCTGATTCTCCTGTCTTTGGTGTGAGGTGACTGTCACCCCACCAAGTCACCCCTGCAGATGGCATGGCAGGGCAGGTGCTGACAACAGCTGTGCCACAGCTGCTCCTCTGGGTTCCTACAGCTACTGCTGGGTGCCTGCTGAAGTGCTCAGCTGCTGAAAGCAAACGGCCACAGTGGACAGAGAGCTTTGTTTTCTTTCTTGCATTTGGGACAATTAGTGACTATAGAAACCATTCCCCTAAAAATTCTGTCTGACAAAGGTTATCCATGTGGCTTACTACCAGCACTTAAAATTAGGCAGCTAATTTAGACATCTAAACTGGGAGACTGTCCTACTTCATTTCCTTTGTCTGGTGTGTGGAGAAAGAAAAACTCACCTAGAAACTTTTCAAAGCTGGAACTACAAGTCAGGGGCTTTTTAAAGTCAGTGTTGAGTTACATAAAAATGCAGTACAACATCAGGATTTTCTGATTTCTCCTCTAAAGGACTCTTTACTCTGCAATGGTAGAAATAGACACATACAAGATTAGGCAGGTCCTTCCATTAAGAATTGTATCAATCTCCAAAATGGGACCTTGTGAAGAGGAATAGCAGTAGCACTTTTCTACTTGATATTGCAACTCAGCAGGAAGGGAAAATGTTACATTAGAAAACAGATACTAATTTTATGTAGACTGCAGGTATCTTCTTTGGAAGCTTCATGTAGTAAATCACTTGAAGTTGATTCAAAGCCCACAAAAACAAGATCACTTCTTCCTATGTACATGCCTTACTATGTATATGTCTTTAAGGAAATGTTTAAGGACATCTCTATTCAGAAGCACACTAATGTGCATTTAAATTCCACTGAAGGCCAATATTCCCTCATAAGCTTATTATTGAACTGCAATTTTGAAATACATAATCACCTCTGTTTGAGATCTTTCCTCACTTTGGAACTCTGCTGTTTCAGAGAGAAAAGCTATATGGAACTAAACATGCACATTTTGTGTAGCAGATAGGCATTATAGCAGACTGTGTTTCCCTTCAAGTGCTTGTCCATATGAGCATGCAAACTGTGGTGTGCATACAGCTGAACATGCAAGACAAGAGTTTTAGCCCTAACAACATCCATACTGATGTACCTCCTGCTTAGCTGCATAATTATGAGATGAGCACTCATCACTGCCTATCTGCCAGCCAAAGGAAGCTTCTTTTCTTTCTTATTTTCCTTTTAATTTTCCTTTTCCTGCCTTCACAAAGACTACTATTTTTAGCTTTTCTCCTTATTTGCTTTCATTTAATGATTGGTCATTCCCCCTTTTCTGCTGGCTCCTCACTCAGAAACATAGAGCTCAGACTACAGGAGAGATATTTCTCTTTCTGGTAGATGTTCCATACACCACTACATTTCCTCACAGAAAAGTACATTCCTAGGAAGTAAAAGATCTGAAACTTCAGTATTGGCTTACAGAGAACAAACAGAGGATGAACACTGCAGGATTTCTACCAACCACAACCCCAGGACTGATAAGGAGGCATCAGTCACCACTAATCCTCATATGTTGAACGGTTTAAGTCAGATGCCATTAAAGACCAAATAGTAAAGTTTAATAAGCTCACAAAGCACTGTGGTTCTTTCTCTTTAAAAGGTGATGGCTATGGTTCCAACTCAAATCTGCAAGAAGTCTGACATTGTGCCATTTCTGTTCATGTCACAGCACTGGGCCTACAAGGCAAACTCATCTCAGCTCTTTTCACTTAAGGCTTCTTAGCACGAGGCATTCTAAGCATTTTTGTTCTGTTGCTTGGACTCTAAGGAGAAGACATTCATCCCAACTCTTGCAAATAGCCCTATGTCATGACACAAATTCACACTGAGAGAAAGAAACACATCTGGTACAGATAGGTATGTATATTATTTCCTAATGAAAAATTGTATTTTTAATATTTTTTAGAGTATGTGAACAGTGTTTTGGGAGGTGAATATCTTAATCCTGCTAAGTGTAAAGATTTGTATTAATCCTTCTCTGTAAAACAAAGGAGAAAGAAAATTCAAGATCAAGACAGGTAAAATTTCTCAAATATGTCCTAAAATATTCTTCTATGCACTAGGCTCCTCTGTGATTAAAGCTGTATATCTGAGCACTCTCCAGTTCTCTAAACTAGTGGATATACAATCTGGGAGACTCCAAAGCTCTTTGCTCATTAGTATTTTATCTCTGAATTGCATTGCATTAATAACTACTTGTCCAACATGGAATATTGACTGCCAGGAGAAGGTAATATGGAGGAACTCAAATTTCCCACAGGGCAGATGGATATGAAGGAAGAAAGTAGAAATTTATGGCAGGGTAAAATCTGAAACATTTTTGTAATGGCCACCATTTGGATTAGACAGATGATTGTAGTGTCAAATGGGCTTCCAGCAGAGTGAGATGGAGAAGTTTGGGGGGTTTTAGAGCACTTATTTATCATATAGCTGTACCTGTGAGTGGTGTATAGCTATTTCCCTTATACATATGTAAGAGAATGAAAAGGGTATGCTACCAACATCATAACCAAGCATTCATATTTTACAGTCCCAGCTGGAACTGAATGAATATTTTATGAACTGAAAAAGTAGTTTGGGTTCTCTTGGCACAATTCACGTGGCAGATGATTGGGAGCTGGCCTCAATTTGAGCGGTAAGGTTTGCAGTGAGTGAGAGAGGAATCAAAGGCAGTAGGTGTGTTCTTCCACATTCACTGCTGCAAAGCCTGGCTTTGAAAATATCACCGAGGCTGCCAAGTTTATATAAAATACCTTAAAACTACTTGACATAATGACTTAAACTCATGTTTTCTGCCAGCAGGTCAGCTGGAAGTGTGCTTAGGCCCTAATTCTGGCCAAATAATTTATTTCTTTCACCAGGAACAAGTAGCAATGATGATGCTTGTCATTGCTTCATAACTTGTACAAGGGAGGAGAGTAAACAGTCCTTTGAGAGAGAACAAGCACTGACTCAAATCTGAATCAGCTCTATTAATCAAGTAATGAAAAGTGCCTGAAAGCAAACTGTATTTCCATTTTTCAGTGGTCTAAAACACAGGAAGGTCAGGTTGATTTGCAGTAGTTTAATTGTTCGGCCACTTCAGTGAGAAATCAATCATTTGAAAAACATGAGTGATTAGGAACTCTCAGCTAGTTTTCAATTAATAGAGAATAGGCATATGGCAAAAATTTTCTTTTCTATTTTTCAGGTGAGTTATATTTTTTTGGGTTTTTTTTGCTTTTGAATGCGATCATTCTGATGATTTTCTCCATAAGATTCAGAAGCCTCCTTGAAGAAGAAATATCCATTCATCTCCCTTATACAGAATAAAAAGAACAGCAATGGTTCAGCTTATGCCTGTGAGCAGAAAAAATGTGCTGCACTCTCTGAGACATGAAGAGAACAATGTCTAAAGGAATTATTCTGAAGCAATTAAATAATTGTAGAAGATGTGAAAATTATTATTTTATCTTGGTTCTTTTGTTGACCTTTGTCTCATTTTTCAAACAGTTGCTGCATTTATTCAGTACCGCAGAAATTTTAAACAGTCAGTTTGCATATGGGTATATGTGCTTGACAAACAGGATAAATAAAATTTATATAAAATATAAAATTTTTATTGTAAATGTATAGATAAAATTTTATTTGAAGTTCATTTATAGTTCTAATTCTCAATCTTTGCATTCCTTGCAATAAATACATAAAATATTAGTGTGACATCTCATTCTTTGGTTGCTTCAGCCATTACTCAGTGATGTTTAAAAAGTCAAATATGCAACTGAAAGTGGCAGATTTATATGTCATTTGAAAAAGCTGAATACCAAGCCAGAGGAATTCAAATAAGCCTTAGTTTGACTTGCAAAAAAAAAAAAAAAATCGCTTTCATATGTCTCAGTAATATTTGACTTTTAATTTAGAGATATTATTGCTCTTTATCATGAGAAATTAAAATATAATAAAATCCCAGCAAGATTTCAGAATATTTTTCACCTGAGCAGCTGTCAGGTCCTGTGTGGGGGATCCTGGGCCTCCTGCTCTGGGATAGCAAAATGTTGAATCTGGAGAGGGCAGGCCTGGACTGTCTCCTCTGGGACAGCTGATGTTGAGGATACCCTTGGGCTAAACTAAGGAAAAACAATGCCAAACAACCAATTAGAAAGCTTTAGCTATGGAAGCAGCAATTTAAACTTTTAAACCTTATGATAGGTTGAACAGTCCATGCCAGCAACAACTTAAAATTTCTGATGCCTGCAGCATCGAGTTAAACTCCATGGAACAGCCTGTAGCAGCAGCACATTAAAGTTTTAAGGAGAGGAAGAAATGAAGAAGGAAAGATATGAAAATTAGAGGTCAAGGATCGGTGTCACCAGCCAGGGCTCAAGCATCATCTCTGCTGCAGTTCCTGCAGATGGGGGTGCAGACACAGCCCCCTCAGCAGTGCTGTTTCCAGAACAGTCCTTGTGCAGGCACATTTTGTTATTCTCAAACTTTTCAGAATAGGGTTGGATTTTCTCATAGTTTCAATTCCCCTGTCAGAGACACAACTGCAATGCTCTCCAAATCTGGTTTTAGAGATAGTTACTCAAGATAAGGAGGATGGTCTCCAAAGAGCACTATCCTGCCTCCAAGACCCTCTATTCTAACATCACCTTACCTCATTGGCATGGTAACACTCCTTTTCTCCTCTGCCCAGTGTTTGAGACATGAAGTCTTTCATATTACATTAACTCTTTCAGGATTTCAGCCTCTCACAGCAGCTCTCCTCTTTAGGATGAAAAGCACGTCATACTCTCCCTACCCTGTAACTGAGAAGTTGCCACAGACACTGAAGGCACACAGCAGACCATTGGCCAAGGCAAAAACTGAGATGAGATTCTCCAATTTGTGAATCTGTGTCTCAGCCATCTGATATGTATCTTTTATTGCAGGAGCAAATATTCAATCTTTATGATGTGCACTGCAGTACAATCTAGGAAGCTACAAGCAGAGGGCTGAAAACTATTGTTTTAGGCGCTCTGATGACACAAGCTAAATATACAGTATAATAGGGTGAAATTGAAGATGGAAGAGCAGTGCACAGAAACATATTTGTTTCTATGGGCTTTTTTTTCCTTTTTTTGGTTTGCCATATATCCTAACAATACTACAGCCTTAAGATGAATTTGACAGACTTGAAGTTTGTTTGGACAAATTTTGGTTGATGAAATAACAACTCTGAAAGTAATCAGCAGCCACACAATGGTTTGGGTTTTTTTTTTACTTAGGAAGATACATGGAAAATGACTGGAGTTGTCAAATGAAAATCAATTGAGGATTTGCATTGAGCCTAGTTATCACATTAGACTGCTACAATAAAATCGCAGACTCAAAGAATTGTTTAGGTTGGAAAAACCCCTAAGATCCAGCCATTAACCCAGGACTGCCAAGGCCAGCACTACACCATGCAGTAAAATATCAACATGTATTTTATTTACCTTCAGGGATGGTGACTCAGCCTCTTCCCTGG